CAGGGTTTTCCACCAAAATCGAAGGACGATGACATCGTTGATCTGGTCGAGAGTTTCGAGCCGGTCACCAATGTCATCTTAGCAAAGGTGGACATGGACAAGATACTGCACGCCTACCTCGAGCCTTGATCTATGGGATGTACCAGTAGTACTAGTAGTCATGACTAGGTTTGATCTGTGGGTTACCCTTGCAAATATGTGAACTCTTATTTGCATGCATGTATGTGTGAACTTTTGCTACACTTTGTATTAGGTGGGTTAAACTCTATTGAGCATGGTGTAGCTTAAGTCATTTGGTCATTTTGTAGCTGGTTTCTTTTCGCTGTAGATTTCTTTCTAGTTGTCTTTGATCTTAAACTTAATTTGCTAAACATTCATGAGTGCATTTGATCTTTGTTAAAGCCAACCCGTGTCTTTGATAAAATTTGATGAATTTGAAAGAACCATGCAGTGAGGAGTTCATATGAACAAGTCTCGCCTCGATCTAATGCAGAACGGAAGAACCAAAGCTATTGACTTTTACTGCGAACGCAAGAAAGTCCGGCCGCTGCGTATTTGATCTCATAGGACAGAAGAGTGTTGTAGCAATCAGTCTACCCCTAGACTATCATGACTGCTTAGATTAGAGTGAAATAAGTACAGAAAAGACCTATCACAACCGCACCAGGCATTCAAGTCTCAAGTGTGACATAGTGGTCAAAAGCTCTTTTTCTCGATTCACTTCTTGTGTCTAGCTTTCCTGCCGCGTTCGCTTCATTCTCATATTTTACTGCGCTTGCAAGAAAGTACGAATGCAGCACATTTGATCTCATCAGACACTATATAGTACAGAGCTATGAGTAAAAATATTGCATACAGAGTGCATTCGGTCACAACATTTGTATCAGCAGTAGTAGTCACGAGTGGCTTTCCCCTTTCGTCGATTGACACTAACCGAAATCATGCTTACAGATGGCAACTAGTTACCATACCATGGATGTGTACTCTACAACAAAGGATCACAACTTTTCCCCCGACCATGTCCCTCTAGTATATTTGATGAAATGATGTTTACCTGTTTCTTGTAAACCGTTTGCTCGCCAGATAGTCCGAGCAGCGTAAATTTGAATCGGCCGGACATGTAACTAGTTTCAATTTTATTTGTTTTCTTTAGGGATTCAACAAATGTATTCATATGAAATAGGTTTCCCTGTATAACGTGAGATGTGTCCGGCCCGGTTAGATTTCCCTGTATAATGTGAGGGGTCTGACCCCAGGTACCCACAGCGGACGGTCCAGCCCACACGATGATAGCTTGCGGCTCACGGCACAGCTCGGCGCACGCCGTAAGGCACCTCGGCGATACCCTGAAGATCGCATAGAGTCTGTTAGGATATGCCGAATGTATGATTCCATGTATATCTTATTTGTTACCCGATTAGTTATAGACTTTTGGCATGTAACCCTACCCCCAGGCTATATAAGGTGGGTAGGGAACCCTCTCAAAACACACGCAATCATATACGACAGCCAATACAAACCGACGGGACACGGGATTAGGGTATTACGTCAAGCTGACGGTCTGAACCTGCCTAAATCTTATGTCTTGTAACCATCTCGCTCCTAATCTCGCTCACCTCTACGATAAATCTACCATCGTGGGACTACCGAGCACATTTAGTCGATAGTATTGTAGCCTATTTCCAAAACCAGGCTGATTTGGCATTGGCTCCCAATTCAATTTCAATCATCCGATATCTACGTCAAACAGACCCTTAGCTTATTCCCATGCACGCTGACGTGTTGGCCTTGTTTCTCCCACACGTGCATGTGTGTCCTGTCCAGGTTCGGCTTCGCAACGGACTTTGGCACATGGATGTTGGATGTCTGTGCGGGTACTCCTCGATGCTGCGATCTGGGATCCGGTACACAACGCCGGGACGCAGCGTCGAGAAGCTACCTAGGGACGCCGATGAGTCGGTGACGTGAGCAGACGACGTGGGACGCCGCAGATCGACGGCAAGTGGAGCGAGGGTTGTCGAGGAGGGACGCCGAGGTCCACTTTGTCGACGGAGGACGACGCCAGCCGCGGTGTGTTGACGACAAGGGTCGCGGGGCGATGTCGGTGGTCGCAATGAGTTTTCTGCCCATAATAGTCATGCAGACACAAAAATATCAGAAGATGTATATCCGATAAAATATTTAATCGGGGCATAAAGTATGACTTAGCTTGGGCATGCTGTCGCGTGCTGCCACGAGCTGTGTCAGGACACCGGGTCGCGTAGCCGGCGGTTGATGGTCACCGTCGCGGGAAGCCGAATTGCCACGGACAACATTAGCGAAGAGAGTCGTGGTAGGCTGCCGACGAGGACCGGGCGGTCTGTCGACGAACTGGCACGAGACGACGACGAGTCGATGACGTAAGATGATGACGAGGGCCGCCACAGGATAGCGACGGTTTAATGACGTGCTGACGACGCAGGATGGCGGCGAGGGCCTCCGCGAGATGATGTCGAATCGACGGCGCGGGGGCGATGTCGAGAGTCGCATAAGCGTGGTATCCTAGCATGTGCGTCGATTAATCTCTTCCCGAGCACTTTATCAAATCTTGATGGTTGTGCTGGAGTAGATAGCTTTTTGGTACACGACGTTGGTCTGCACGGCCTTGTAGATTGGATCGTCCGCCCCTCTGGCCGGTTGGTCAACCTTGGAACTAAGCTGTCGATGAAGGCCGATGAGTCGACGACGCGAGCCACGGCGTGCTGACCGTGGGCTGCAGCTGCCATATAATCGTGGAGACAGATAGAAACATCCGAGAATATACAGATATATAAAGATATTTAATTGATCAAAAAACCACGGCTTGGCTGTTTTGGTGTCCGAGCGTGGTGTCATCCTTGTTCTTGTATGAACGAAAATTTCCCATCATCGCTAAGGTCAAGTCACGGGAAAGTAGATTGGCAGCAAGGGAATATTTTTTTCCCATGCGCACGATTACGTAGTATATGCATATATCCGTATAATCCAAAGATGATTATTTTAATCGACATGAACATGTGGATCGTAGGCTTATCTGCTCGCTTGTTTGACGATGGGGAAGGAAACCATCGACTGCGGTGCGTCATCTGATGCCCAGCGCCGCCCGCAATGTCCGATCAAAGGTCGCATGGATGGACCCCGTCACGTGACCGTGGCTGCACCGCTGAAGGCCAGTGGAGGCACCACTTGACGCCATGCCGCCGATCCTCCGGACGTCGGAGCCCCACGATATGGACAACATCGCCGCAGGACGCCAGAATCACCGCGGACGACGGTTGATGAAGAAAAATCTCATCCGAAACATTTTAGATCTGTATGCGAAAGGCCCTACATGATATGTCAACTGTCGGATTATTTTGCTCTAACAATATCCAGCAACACGATCGCATAGTCGGAATCAGATGCTAGCACACAAAACATAAGGATTTATACTAGTTCAGGGCGCGGGGCGCACTAAACCCTACGAGGTCTCTACCCTTCTTTATATAGGCAGGAGAGGTAGAGTTACAGAGAAGACGATCGGGCTAACAGATTGTGTTCATAGTTTGTTACATAATATGCGCAACAGATTGATCATAGCTATCGTCCAGATACACCCACTCTTGTTTGCCTTATCTCTACGTTGGTCGATCGCGTTAGCCCTTGCGGGCCTCCTCCTTGTCGACTGCTGGACCGATAGCCTAGTGATGGTCACATATACGGGCGGTACAGGTACCCCTGCCCCATATATCTGACATAAAGAAACCTTGGATTTCACCCCGGAGTCGTCTCCGCCAACGATGAAATCGAAGAACCAAACTCCTTCCATCAGCAGCGACGCAAACGAAAAAACTAACCAAACCCTACCTAGATTACAAGAGTAGAAGGCAATATGTAGACCGGCCACCTCACTCCTTGACCTCCGTGCCCGCCGGAGCAACGCAGGCGCCGGCGAAGATGCGGATGGAAGGAGATTGGTACCGGGAACCGGCGTAGCAACAATTTCTATCGATTATCAGAAAGCCAACGAAAGTGAGCCCACTCAAAAAATGGGATGTAGAATATGTGTTAGGCCCAGGTCTCTACACTGATTTTTGTGGCTAGAAAAAATTATAGTGGTGTGATATCAAAGATATATATATATATAGATATATATATATATATATATATATATATATATGAATATTATATATTAAAATATATATATAGGACAAATAAAATAGGGGCTTAGATATAGGGACCCTTATTTTTGGATGAAAAGACCTTTATTGGAGTTGAGTGCTAAAAGTAAAGTTCCAGAAAATAGAAATCCCTACTCAAAAAATAGGAGAGGGACTCTACTTTAGGGGTCATTTGGTTCAAAAAAATAGGAGAGGGGCTCTACTTTAGGGTCATTTGGTGCTGCTCCAACGCCACAGAACCCAGAGCAGAAGCACCCTTCAGCAGCTCCACCACCGAATAAAACAGCTCCAGCCTCCTCCACGTCATCCAGAAGCGCTTCTCTCCCTTGCGGTCTCGGCAGAGCCGGAGGAGCACCCGAAGGGTCCATCCCAATTTGGTAAAATTTTAAGGTCCATGAGTTCCGAGGGTCCATTGCAATTTGGTCCAATTTTAAGGTCCATGAGTTCCGAGGATCCATTGCAATTTGGTCCAATTTTAAGGTCCATGAGTCACAAGAATCATTGCGCCAGCAGCTTCAGGGCCTCACACTTGCATGCTGTTCTGTCAAGTGTTTCGGGGAACCAGACAATGGAAACTAAAAACACATCGGAGATTAATATAAACAATAAGCTTACACCCGCATCTAACGAACTACTGTAGGAACTTGTCTGTGTTATCAGTTGTTACATGCTATATAAACCTCATAACCACTAAATTAACGAGATGATACATTCGAATACTACATACCCTGAAGGCCTTGCCCATCTTTCCATCAGCCTATTCTCTACTCTAATGACTCTTCTTCCCACAAACATGGGACCAAAGGGAAAGAAACAAGAAAATTAAACATTTCGTGGTACAGATGCTGTATTTGCAAAACCGTTAGCTGCTTTTGGTGGTGGTGGCTTCTTCTTGTAGTTTGCTAAGCTACAGTGGGGGCAGATGTATTCCAAACCGTCTGTCTTAGCGTAATCCTGTAAGTAAAGCACCTCATGAGATCAAGCCATTGATTTCGGGCAAGGGTGAGATCAACAAACCATCATCTTCTTGTTTACCTTGAAAGTGCCTAGTCCTTGCCGTCTGTCGCAACCAAAGTGAGCCCATTCACCACATAAACCACAGTTCACCCAATCTCCAGGTGCGCTACTGGAATTACATAAAAGGTACTGTTAGATTTTAACATGATATTAATATTGAAGCAGAAAGATTTGAAGGAAGATGCCCTCAGACCTGTGACAAAGTAAGCAGCATTCGCCATCCACATCATCATGCGCTAACTCATATTCCAACAAGTATGTTTCGTAATGCCTTTTCAGTGTATTCCCTACACCCTAAATATATACAGAGAAGTGCATAGAATTAAAACATGGCATTTCATTAGGCATTCCTGTTCTTCAGCGAAAAGCTAAAAGGCAAGATCAGAAATCAAGTATCAGAGAACTGAACAATAAATGCATACAGTCATTCTGTTTGTTGCAGTATGGTTACGCATCTTTGAGAAGACTTGACCCTTCCAGTTTATGCCATTACCCACATAAAATCCACCTCTAGACACCACCTAAAAAATAAATAAAATATTTATCAGGGAACAGGCTGATAATACATGTCATTGGACCTCCAGTTCACATAAGTAAACTAGTGCAGAGAATTACCTCCTTGTACAAGTTATAAAGATCAAGGCGCTTGGCGTTAAGGATTGCATCAGGAAATTCAGCTAGTCCTTCGTGAGGTACAAGTCGATTGTGGCCCCTCTGGATTAAAAACTGCATGACATCCTTCAAGAAGTCCTCCTACAAAAAAATGTAAGGAACAGATCACTTTCTAGACTGAGTATTATGTATGGAAAACAGAACCATATCATCATCATGACTGATGAAGGTTCAAGACGTGTACCTCAGAGCATACTTGGATAGGCAACCTATCACATCCATGTTTCTTCATTGGCACAGGATTCAATTGAATGACTGAAGGAGTATGAGATGGCCCTGATGTTGATTTTCTGTGCGTGGTTGGGGCAGAAGAAACTGAATTGTGCTTAACAGTTGGCGCAACTGGCAAGCTTGGCTTCACAATAATAGTTTCATGAAGGGAAGTTTCAGGTAAACCCATAAAAGGATGCATTTGTTGTTTTCGAGAGTGAGGAATGGGCCTCATAGTTGCAGGCTTTAATTTAGCCTTGACGGCTGACAATGAGGAAGGCCCTTCCATCATATGCTTCTTGTCTTCCAAAACTCCATTTGCACCCAACAGATTTTGTTTTGATTCTGAACCCACCTTTGTTCTGTCCTTGGTAAGGGAGGCTGACCATCTTGGCAGATGAAAATATGGACCATTTTCATTAGCCAAATCTTTGCACTGACTTGTGCAAAAGAAAAGAAGACGGTCTGCATCTCGCCTCTCAAAGGAAGCAACAGGAGTACCATTTATACAACCAATACCAAGTGCAACCAAGCTCCTGTATTGTATATCTGGCGCTAGATGCTTCAGGACCTATATAAATGAACAATACCGGTTCAATATGTAAGACTAGAATTGCATAAGTGAAAAAAAAAATTATACAAGATCGTATCAAAACAGCATAAAATTCCAGTAGGTGCATATTATAAGCAAACAATGTCAGAAACAAACCTGTGCTGCCCACTTAGGAAGTGACATCCAAACTTCAAAGGTAGAAGCCCCACAAGCCGTGGACATGGAAGTTAGAGGCTCGCTTGATGGTAACTTGTCCTCACTATTTGAGAGAGCACGGACTAACTGGCTCTTCTCAATAATTTCATTCTTGATGTGGCTCTCTAGAAGCTGCACAGACAGGTGAGCACCATGTGACTTTGCACGGCAGGACCAAAAAACCTATCCAAGTTCAAAGGAATATATACCTGGTCATCAAAACAAGTCTGCGCGCTACCAGAAACGAGGAGTGACACATGGGAAATGCTGCAAGTAGTGATATCACAGCGCATAGTAACCATCCCACGTGGTAGAGATGCAGCTTCGAGAGGTGGTGGAGAAGCACTGTCAGACAGGAGGAACAACAAATCAGTTTTCTGTTTACAAAGACAATAATAATCTATGGCAAAGCCACATTGGCAGTAAACAACAATCTCTGTACATATGAAGGCTCCCTTAATAAATAAATGAAGGCTCACTTGTTCATTTTCTTTCCCTAAATTATCTCCTACAAGTATCGTTGACATTTTGTTTTCATGAATCGAGAAGAATGATACACTACAGAACTAAGCATGGTCAACCAACATAATCATGCATGACAGCACGTCAAAAGAATTTGGTTGGTAATTCATGGACTCATCACATGGTATAAAAGGTAAAACCATAGAAGGATGTAGAACTAAAGAAATTAGAAAGCAATCCAAGATACCTGATTCGATTCTGCAGTTTGCTCCCACGAATCTGTCAAAAAAACATGAGCTCTTTTATATAGGAAAATCGAAAGTCATAAGTTTCGTAATAACTTAAACAATCAAGCATTAAATATTTGCACCGTTGCTTTATGTGTCAGCATCCTTTAAACAATACAAAGCGATAGCCAGCTCACAGGTTTAATCACACCCCATGGTAGAGAGCAGTGTTTGAGTGCACGTGGGCTGGGTTGGGGGGTTTGGATGTCTGGACCATCCATTTCTGTTGGTTCGATCAACCTAAGACTAAGACTAACGGGAACTAAAGTTCCAGTTGTTCAGTACACAACCTCCTACCTAATGTCAATACTTTTTGTGATGCAGAATAAAGTACTACTAGTGTCTACACTATAGCAGCATGATTTTTCACTTTCATGTACCATACGAGCATGAAGACTTCCATTAAAACAAATCATAACGATTGCAGGCAACGGCCTAGATGTCGAGGGCAACAGCCCCCGTGGGCGCCATAAAATCATCGCCCCATGATAATAAGGTATCTAGAAATGTGGTCTGATTAATAGAAATAGACCAAGTGATGAAACAACGGATACTGCAAATGATGTCCTATGATTTTAATTAAGGATATCAACATCTCTGCTTACCTAGTATCTCTATATGTAAGTGTGCCTTGGTGTTGCGCATCTAATTCGATTTTGTTCTATGATCCTTACAGAAAACATCCATGAATTAAGAGCATAAATGTAACAGTGCCATATGTCTGAATTACTATTACATACACTAAGAAACAAAATGTTTTTTATCATTTCTAGTGAGACAATAACTTTCAAAACCATGTGTTTATTATATAAAAAGTAGTTCACACAAAAAGGTATTGCATAGCTAGAATCTTTCATTCATACTTCAATATTCAGAAGTGCATTCAGACCGTCTTCTAAAGAGCCCAATAAACAAGGATCCTGTGGGAGTAAAAAAGGGAAGCATTAGTTTGCATCGGAATAATATAACTAATCTTTAGACATAAATATTAAAGCTTTTATTTACCAAGTTGCATGGCACTCCACATAGAAGTAATTTCATGTTGATTTCTTCATCGTATATTTTTATAGCCGGGGTCACTTCAGAAGAACCTTCTTCATCAACCATTTCAGTCTCAGGTGGGCTTATATTTATTTTTGGAGCATCCCCAAGGAGACGAGGACCAAGCTTAACACTTTGCACGTGATTGTTTCTTACACAATATAGACGGAAGGATGCATGAGCAAGCTGAAAAGCATCCCAAGTATGGCTCACCGAACTGAATCCAACCAGAAGCACATTTTATTATAAATAACACTTCCATTTAAATCGAACTGAAAGAGGGAGGGTGAATGAATACCTTTGAACTACTGACATCAACGCATGGCGAAAATGAGATGCGGCATAAGACAAGAATGAATTTCTCCAGTATATTACATATGGGATCCCCTGAAATAAATAAATATTAGCATTACCGAAATTTCCAATTCCAGAATAATAAAATTGGTTGCCTAACACTTTAAGAAATATAAATTAAGAACATATAACAATTTGTTTTGATATAGAGGAAACAAAGTTGAACAGATTTGTAGAAATATGCTAACACTTGGGGCCCTGTTTGGATCTCATTTTCATAGTGATTCTAGATAGTGATGTAGAATCTGGATTCTAAATTTAAAAAAAAATGAGGGGTGTTTGGATTCCGGATTATTGTTTTTTCATAGTGAGAATCTCCAAATAGCAGGGTTTGGGTAGATAGATGGATTCTAGGAATCTCATTCTAGAATCCGAGTGTTTGGATCTAATTCTCATTTTTTTAGGAGATCCAAACAGGGCCTAACAGCAGCATGACATTGTTGCCGAACTAAGAACAGACCAAAATGAACAATCCAAGGAAAATATGGCTACTTTGCTATGCAGCCATCTCCAAGAAAACATGATCTATGAGTAGTGGACAAATAGTATTACTCTAGCTGTTGACGGATAGTAATACTCTAGTTGTTTGAAGAGATGCGATTACTGTACAGGGAAACTATCTACCTTTGAGTGAACCGCTTGGGCAAGTTTTTCACCAATAGGAACTTCCAGATATACCTGTATACAGAGTATGGTTATCAGCAACTGTAAAAATGTGAGAAAGTTGAACCCATGTGGCAGTACAGCCAAGATTTGGAACATCACAAAAGTTACACAAAATAAATGTTCCATATGCATTCCTGTGAAGTAAATGAAGCAAAACTCTTTTGTAGGAACATTGCTTTCCGTATATATTTCCATGATCTGAATGAAACATTTTATGTATAGGATAGGATACTTGGGCCAGTCAGGTACTTTTTTTTGTATTGAACTATTCAAACTGGATTCAGCTCTAGTACTTGACCTATTCAAATGTGTGTAGCATAAGACGAGACAATCCTTATTCAAGTTGTATAGCAATTGTTGTATAATGCAACGACGAAACAAACACTGACACAGTGACTTCAGGTTCATACAATAGAATTTACCAAAACATCATAGGTTGTCGTACAAGTTATCCCAATGTTCATATCATGATGCAGCTAGAAACAGGTGCTGATATCACATCCTGGTATTCGCACACACTAGAGTAGAGCTTACTATTGTTGGGAATGGTGGGCTGATAAGAGTGCTAAACGCCTGCGGATCAGAGACATCGGCGTCCCCCCACACAAGTGAGCCAATCTCCTTCTCATCCTCAAGCTGCTGACCCTGGATGTACAAGAAGTTTGGCTGCACCACCCGCTGCGCCTCTAGGAACTGCTCTGGTGTAGGATTGAACAGGGTGTGGACCTGCATTCAGAAGCCCCCTCATTCAGCTGACAAACAAAGGAGGGAAACTGCAATGAACGCAATCAAGCGAGGACACCAGCAACTGACCTCCAATCTCCCAGCCGAGCTGAGCTCCGGGAACGGGTACGACGGCCGCGGCCGCTTCGCCTCCAGCCCAGACCTTGCTGCTGGTGCGCGCTTCTCAGCATACTTGCCACACAGCACCGCGAGAAGCACACAGTTGTTCCGCGAGAAGCTTTGGATTTGATGAGACATGACTAGCCGGCCGGAGCCTCCCCGACGGCGGCCAAGCAGTAGAAAAGCCTCCCCTCCAAATCAACCCCGCTTCTTCATGGACCAAACCCTGCGACACAAAAACTGGATCAGGAATTCCCCCAAAATCCAACCAAATCCGCAGCGAAACCCCACGAATCTGAGCGGGCGGCCTTACCAAGACGCGATTTTGCGGCGTAATCGGCGGCGGCACGGCCTGAATCGACGGGAAGGAGGCGGATTCGGTGCGGGGAGAAGGGGGAAACGAAGGGTAAAGTGCGCGAGAACACCCGGAGCCCTAGAAGACGATTCGCGGAAATAGCTACTGCAACAACGCGAAAGCAAATCCCAGTGCGGAGGCAATAAAAAAGAGGAGCCGTGCTTGTGGTGGTGGCGAATCGGCCCACGCCCCCATCCCAATCCAGACAAACACACACAGCGCAATCCAGAGAGAGAGAGAGAGAGCCGAAAAAAATCTCCTCTCCAAGAACCGGAACAAGAACTAATGCGGGATTAACCGGCGGCGACAACCACGGGGATCAGGCGAGCGGGGCTCATTACCCAGCGGCAACCAACCAACTGACAACAATCCCGCATCACAGAGGCAGAAACTTTGGAACAGTCCCGGCTCGACCAGGGAGGCGTCAAGATTGGATTTTTGACGGGCGTGGGGAGGGCAGTCCGGAGATTCTCGCGGACTTTTCCTCCTCGGATTTTCGCCCTGCCTGCCCGCCTGCCTGCTCACGCGCTCGCAATCACACGCATCGCCCAGCTTGATGAGTCGTAGATTAGAGGAGTTGATGTGTGCCTGCTCTCTGCTGGTGCTGGTGCGTTGTTTTCCCTGCGCCTTTTCGTTTCCTCCTTTTCCTCCTCCGCTTCATTACTGCTGCACAAGCCAGGGGGGCGGCCGGAGGAAAAACGCGGATTAAAAGATTAGGAATTTCGAGGGCAGATTGGTGAGGGGGCGAAATAATCTCTTTCTGGGAGAATTGTTTTTTGCCGGGATCGGAATATCGGACGCTACTGCTGCTTTTGGTGTGCATGTAGTAGTATTGTGTTTGGTTGGTGCAGATTGATTCGGTGTGGCCTGTGGTGTGGCGTCTGGCGTAGGGTTGTGATCGAGGGATCCGGCTTGGCGCTCGAGCGGTCGAGGCTGCAGGGTGGGTGTGCATCGGAACTCGGATGCGTGCAATGGGTAGGGTGGGGGCGCCTGTGTTCGTGGGATCGTGGGAGAAAATGGCCCGTTTGATCCGTTTCGGCGTGTTCCTAATCGCAGCGGTGGAGGCGACGAGGCGCGGAGCGAGAGCGACCGCCCACGCCCACGCCCAGCTTGAGTCAGCGACGCAGCAGAGCTAAACACCTAACGCGCCGTCAGCGTCACAGGATGGCCATTGGTTTCTCTGGCTGGTGGGTCCTGATCTTGGTAAAAGAAGCTATAGACGCCGTCTGACATCTGCGTGACATAGAGGCCTAGAGCCCATCGGCCCATGTGCGAGTTGGTCGTGGCCCCGTGGGGCTGTATGGCGGCTGGTGTATGTATATAAGTATCAAATAAACCTGCAGACTGTTTCGGCTGGATTGGCTTATAAGCTATGGTTGAAAGCACTGCTAGCTAATTTGATGTGAGAGAAAAATAATGTTCGTCAGCGGATAAGCCAAGACTTATAAGCCAAATACAGGCTGCCGAACAGGCTGATGATCTAGAATATAAACATAGATAGACTGCGACATTCAAAATACGCGCACCCAGATCCACGAACATCATCGACCATTCCCATGGACTCAACAAAAAAATTAAGTACCTATGGAGGAGTACAAGAACAAACAACGAATACTAGTAAATTAAACTTGTATTGCGTAACATATCCCATCATAATCACCCACTAGAAAAGGCAAGAAACAACTGGATCTGAACAAAAACAACAATTTGCCCTTTGAGGAGGAGCAACTAGAGAGAGATTCATCACGTATCCTCGGTTTCAAACCGCAACGTCTCACCTGCAAGCACCTGGGGAGGGTCGACGAGCTTCTCTGATGGGAGCCCCAACAACAGCGAGTGAACGAGTGGTGAATGAGAGAGGTAACCCTAGCAAGTGGATGCGGAAGCAGGGTTTTGTTCGATGTACTGCACAGGCCAATGAGGATCCCCACGCGTGCCCAAGCCAAGCCAGGCTCCGCGGAAACAAGCGCCCTCACTGTTTCCAGGAAACCTGGCTAACCCCCCTCCCCTCACCCCTCCTCGTGTGGGGTTATGGAAGCCTAGCTAGAAGGGCCTTACAGGAACAAAACAGGCCCAAGTTGTATTATGGAAGCCTGACCAGGGAACCAAAACTAACCATAATCGTAAAAAAAATATAACTATAGATTATTTATCCAAATTCTTTATTGCAGTATCTGGTTAATGGCAAATTATAAAGTGGTCCCTTATGTTAAGAGTTAAGCTTTATATTATTTTTTAGGACTTTTACTTTTAACTCTTTCTAAAATGATATTTTAACATTATTATTAACTACCTAGATTTTTTTTCTTTCAAATAACTTTTTCGGTCGTGCTAAACCGTTTAACTCTTTCAAATAACGGTTTAGCGTATGTAGTGTTACTTTTAACTCTTATACGGTATCATGTTCCTTATATGTTTATTAGAATCGTGTAGCATATGTAGTGTTTGTAGGTGAAAGTTGGTACTTGAGTGACAACTAGTTAGTTAATGTTTTCAATGGGTTGTGACCGAGCTAGAGTCCTAAAAGTGCATTTTCACCCGTCGTGTGTTTTGGTAAATTAATGACAAAATGCATTGACAAGTGTTTGAGCAGGTTTAATTTAAATATAAGTGACGCGTTTGTGGAATGATGAACCTCCAATTTTATTCAAGATGAGTTGTGACATTTGGAGCTTTATAGCAATTTAAATTTTTTTATTTTGTATTTGAGTATAGGAAAATACCGCCACTGTAAAGAGGGATTCAAAGTCATTTTCTTGCCGATGTCTCAATGCTTAAAGAGTGGCCAACTAACCCTTTTTAGTTGCCCAAGCATCCCTGCAAAAAAGACTAAGAAAAAACGGTTTTTGCTTTTAAACAACCAAAACCGGATGCCCAGAAAAAATAATCGAATTTTTATTTTCCCGGTCTGATAGCACTTTCCAGATATCCCGCTCTCCAAACTGGATGTTTGGGATTTATTCAAAAAATTATTTTTCTGAGTCCGACAGCGTAGACTGGATATCTGGTTCTGCACAGACTTTTTTGCTCTACATCTGGTTTTCCGGATATCCGGAAATTGGCGTTTCAGCACTCTAACGGTTGGATCTGAGAGGGGTGGTATTTATACTCCCCCCTCTCTCTCTCTCTCTCTCTCTCTCCGGCCATAAGTCTTCACCTACCTCGAGCAAAACTCTTGTGCGCTATTACTCGCCCTCTCTCACACACACATAGCTTTCACTTTAAGCACTTGTTCTTGTGTGGATTTGAGAGAAGACTTGCTTGAGATTTGAGCCCTTGGCATTCACATCCATTCTCTTGAGCATTTGAGATGACTCCGAGGCTTGCTTTGAGTTTATTACTCTTGGATTCTTGAATCCTCGTCGGCAAGGAGTTACCCGGGAGCTTGCAACTTATAGATCCACCTCGAAAAGTTTGTATCGCCTATTTGTTCTTAGTGGATTTTTCAAGTGAACTTTGTGGTCACTTGAGAGAGGCAAGGAGGTAAAATAGACTCCAACCTTTGTGGTCCCCTCAACAACAGGGACGTAGGCATTCCTTTGTTGTTTGACTGAACCTCAGATTAAATCGTGCCACTTGTGCTCTACTTGTTTTTATTGATTTGAGCTATTATTGTGAAATCCTTGCTAGTATATCTGGGTGTAGGAATCGTTGGAGGTCAACTCTTCCATCTCTCTACAAGACTTGGTAACATTTTGCTGCTCATCTCGGTTGTAGTTCTTGTAGATTTAGTAAGGGTTCCGCTTAGACCGGACATCTGGTTTGTCTCGGATACCCAGTGTCAAAACCGGACATCCGGTCAAAACTAGACATCCGGTCCATACTAATTTCCGCTATAAGTTTCTTTGAGAAATTTTAGATTAGGCCTATTCACCCTCCCCCTATAGGCCCCAAGTGATCCTTTCAGGTCCACGTGATGGTGATGAGCAAGGCATAAAGATGGTGGTGATGAAGATCAAGCCATATGAACCAAAGGCTCATCCATACAGAGGACATAAAAAAGAAGCCCAAAGACTAAGGTATATGCTAGGGTTTTTTATTTCACCGAAGTCTCTCTGTGTCCACGACTCCACATAATCATAGCTCCGATTATCGTACTAGCCAATCCTCAGAAGTCACAACTTATGCTACTCCTCTCTGTTGATCAAAAGCGACATACTATGATTACATGTCGACTTTATGTTGATGGCCTAGTCACCACGACTAGGATTCCAGCTATGCAGCCTAGAAACTAGATGATAAGATAAACGAACACAGACAGCACATAGCACAGATCAGAGGTATAAGATCACAAGATATGTAACTAGGTACATGTAGCACATGGTTATACCTAGTATTTGCGGAGAACAAGAGGTGTGCGACAGTAATGCATCAGATAATCACGAAGTTCATCAAAGTGATTACATTCTGGTACTGTTGAGTTCAGATATACATGAATTCCCCACCCCTCACAGCATTTGCCGCACCCCTTCTATCTTCTTCCTCCTCCCTTTCACGCTCCTTCCTGCTCTCATACGCATGGTCATCCGTCCTCAGCTCATGCCGGCATATAGGGCAGGAGTTGTTCTCGTCCTAAATGAAACAAAAAATCACGGTTGGTTAGATACACTGATTGCAACAATGATGCTCCTCCACTCCAAATCTACCTACTTATTTGAAGGGTTCACAAGAAGTTTACCAGCCATGGCTTCAGACAAGGAGGATGGAAGAGATGCTTGCAAGGAAGCTCCTGCATCTTGTCATCCACAACCAAGTTTTCGCGGCAGACAGCACACTCCGTCTCACTACCCAATCTAGCAATGACTTCCTTGGTAACAGTAATGACAGGTAGATTGGCAACAACTTCCTTTGAAGCCGGGGGTGCTCTTGGTGGATGCTCAATGATTCCCTGGCATCAAAATGTAACTCGAGATTAGTATTTTCACATCCTATTACAGTTTCAGCTACCTGAAGCAGACTTACATGGCAGAGTTAGAAAGTTGTACTTGACTACAAATTGTATAGCTAGATCCTTCCCACTACATGCAAGGTCTCAATAACAATGATAATAATAAATTTAAAGAGAATTATTTCCCCATCCATCAGAACATGATGAGATTACCTCTGCCTTTGAGCAAATCAGTACTATCACTTGAGTGCAGTGCAAATTTGGTGTACAAGGGTAGTTTGTCATGAGATTGGACAAACTAAAGATCAGAAGCATATAATTGTGCACCCTTCTTTAGTTGGTTAAAAGACCTAGCAGTGTGCACTGACAAGAGACCTAGCAATGTACTAAAGAAGTGGATTCTCATGAAATGATTATTAAGTATTCATGCACACCTGCAGTGATTCTTCCAAAGCAGTTTCTAGATCCCTGTCGCCTGATATGGTTTCTAGGAGGTTCATTATAGCAGGTGTAATCTCCTCGGCTCTAGGCACTGTTACATTGTTGTTCCCATCTTGATCTCCAGAGGATTCAGTTAGTATGCTCAATTCCCGCGTTAAATTCTGGGCAACAAGCCATGCTGGAGGTGGAGGTTCCTGTCCCACAGTAAGGTGCCCTTCAAAAAGAAATCTGGTGTCTGCGAAAAGCAACATCTTATTAACAAATAGATATTGATAGGTAATACTTTGGAGGAGATATAGCTATGTTAAGTGCATAACAAAAATAGCCACATTTGTTTTGTTTTTACATATGCCCAACTTGATAAACCCAACAAATGTAAACCCAACATATGTCATCTAATTAAATGGTCGGCATTTGATGTAGTTCTTACAACATTACCACGAGATCACTCATTTCATACAGGGTTCCACATGTATTTAACTATTTATAGACGCTTTTGGATGTTTCATTATAAATAACAATTCACCATAGTACATACATTCTAACTAAATATTTAGACTTTGTTTTAATCTAACAATAAGATTTTAAATATGTTATGTACCTGCTTCTCTGTTGCTTGGCATGGAATCCTCATTTTCTTTTTCATCAAGATGCTCACGGGCCCTTGAAATGCAGGTCTTCAGGTGCTCCTTTTCAGAAGGATTACTTACCAGCTTCTCTGTTCCCATGAAGAGGTTCAGACCAGCATGCCAGAATCCCGGAGCTGTATATCTGGTTTGGAGCACTGTTGCAACACGGCAAACCGTTGAATACATCTGCGGAAAGTAACAAATGCTCAAAATAAACACAAAGACAATAGATGACATTCATAAAAATATTCAACCAGAGAGGGAGGAGGGGGGGGACTGCCCCATGGCTTTGCAGTTTGCACTAAAAAAACCTCAGTGAAACTGGTCCAGAAAACCCCGAACCCCGGCCTCACCCTATAGGGCCATACAGTAACCAAGGTCGGTGACCACTGTCATTACCCTAGCTGGCTGGTACCACTACTCGGTGACCAACCACCACACTACTAGCAGCCTGTTCGGTTGGCTGGTTCGTATCGTTGCTGGTTCGTTTATGTGAGAGAGAAGTACTGCTGGCTGGTTCATTGGAACAATGTCCATGTGAGGGGGCCGGCCAGACCCAGCCGAACACGGCGTAGTGTGTTTGCTAGATGACACTTGTAACAGTCAAGAGTGAACATAAAGGACATTCAAGGCCATAGCAGTCCAAATAAATAAGAGATTATGTACTCCCTCTGTCCACAAAAGAATGCAATTCTTGCTTTTCGAGCCAAACAATTTAAACTTTGACCAAATTTATATCAAAAGGTACTAACATTCATGATACAAAATAAGTACCATTAGATTAGTTATAGAATATACTTTCATATAGATTTATTTAGAGACATAATTGCTCATACTATTTAGTATAAACTTGGTCAAACTTGAGTTAGATTGACCAGCACGGATCCCATAATTGCATTCTTTTGTGGACGGATGGAGTAAAATAGTACCAATATAGGCATATAGTTGTACTATAGGATGCAAATTGAATGACAAGATTGTTTCCAGTTAAAAGAATCGCCAAGCATACCTTTTTTATAACATTAATATAGATCAAAATGCCCACAAATGATGCTATGCATTTTGCAGCTCCATGACAAATATCTCAATTTGTATATGTGTGTGCCATAGAGTAGCATATACATATCTTTCATGGACTCTTAGTTAAGCACATCAAGAGAAGTTACCTTGGCCTTATGGCTCCGTATGCCCCACATCATGTGTTACTACTTTCTGCAGATAAGTTTGTTCCTCAGATGGCGACCAATACTGGGGTTGTGATGCCACTTTTATATGACCTCAAACATGATGATCTTAGTTAGAGCATTCCTTAATTGATATAACAGGGGTAAGGCAAAGTGTCATGGATTGGGCTGCCAAATGGGCTAGTGTTGTGCTGCTATAAAGGTTCAGAGCATATGCCAGGAAAGGGGATCGAACAGAACAAGTATAGGCTCTGTCTTCTCCTACCTCTGAACTCTGCTCATGTACTAGCTCTTGCTACCTGCCTCTGATTCCTTGCTATTTCCTGTCTCAATCCCATTCTGATTCGCTTGTGCTGTATCCCAAACCACCAATCACTGCTATCGCTGAGATTTGTTGGTCTAGGACCGTGACACAAAGCCATGTCATTATTCAACAGGCACGTTACTATAAGAAGATCTAAGTTTTGACCAACACCATAGTAGCACAGCGAGTTAAGCCAGCCTTGATTTCATCATCTATTGACGAATAGGTGCGAATGTCCTTGGTTAATTGCTATGGAAACCCCATGACTAAAATTTAGCAGTTGCAATCGAAGCAAATACATGTCCACGCAGTGCTACGGCCTACGGCTCCATCAACATCGAATTTTGGTTTTTGGATAGCCAGCCGTGCGGCCGTGCCGGCCACCCGAATTCCATCATCTAGAAGGCAACGAGAATTTTTCCGTGGAGGCTGGAGAGGCATTTGAGGTGAGGTCTGCGTTACCGATTTGCGGAGGGTGGGTGAGGCGCCGGCGTAGCGGTCCCGTACGGCGGCGGCGAGTTCGTTTACGGCCTCCTCGAAGTGCTGCTTCTTCCCGAGCCTCTGCCGCAGCGCCTGGAGGCGAGCCTCCACCGCGGCCTCGTCCGTAGCGGTCGCCGACATGGCAGCAGGCTGGCAGGCCTCTGATTTGGATCCGTGTCCTGTGATTTCGAGAGTTTTTGGGCTTATAGATAGGATTAGGAATCGAAGGTTGGCGTGCATCGCCGCGGCGGAGGTATAAAAGGAGAGAAGGCCGGTGCCGGAGGTGGGCGCCGCGCGCTGGCTTGGAGGAGAGGAAAGAAACACCGCGGTAGGCGGGACGGTGGCCACTGGCCAGGGAGGTGGTCGGGCACGCGGTGGCGTGCTGCTGGACGGGACGGACGGGCGGAGCCTGACGGGGAGGCTTGCCTTGCCGTTAGCTTGAGACGGCGCGGTTTGATGTCTGATGGGGTAGCTGTACGACTCCGACCCGAGCCGATATGGTGGATCAAAACCTGGAACCGAGCCGATACCCTAGGATGTGAATGGTTGCCGTGGTGACGGAGAGTCGGGACGGAAGTGAGATGCATGTATAAATCGTGCATCCAGTTATGTTTGTTGTTTTTGTTGTTGTCTAATATGAGATGTGATCTTGTTTGATTGCATACATAGATAAGAGTTTTGAGTGTGTGACACATGGTCCCTTATACCATGGGTGCATCGTGTCATCCTGCATCGCGAGGAAAGTAGAAATTAAGAAGACAGAGAGGATGGTGGAGGGCAGCGGAATAAAACGAAGCAGGCAAAGTATGCGAGGCGGGGAACCAAACATGACATAGGATTGAGTTGAAGCAAGCAAAGATGCAAGGATGGCCTAGTTCAGACAACTAATCAACCCCTAAATTTATTGATATTGAAGATTTATCTTATCTTCCTCCTCTCCAGCGACGATAAAGGAGAAGAATGGAATCGTTTTCTCTATGACAGCTCTGTTGAAGATGAGAGCAATAAATACGACGTCAGCAATTTCACCGGCATGACGACATTAAGACCTTTCTTTTCGGACGGCGATATCAAGGCAGAGATGATGCCCCCATAGAATAATTTTTTCCTGTCTCTTATCCGTTTTGTCATGGTTAGATTTGGCCACGATGAAAAACTAGAAAGATTCAGATAAGTATTCTTCATTCTTCGGTGACAGAAAGAAAAAGAAAGACATAAGAAAGAAGAAGTTTCTCAACTATGCCTATAGCAATGTTGGTCGTCGTTCATTGGACATATTTTCTCAAGCCTTTTGCCGAGTGTTTGGTACATGGAGCTGTTCATAGCATGGGTATAATTTAGATGAAAATATATTTCTATATATATATATAGTGTATTTTAGAGTGCTCGCAATATGTTGATATATCCAGTTATTATATAATATAATTCTTTTTTCGACTAAAAAAACCTAGCCTTATGTATTTTCCAGACGGAAACTGACTCGGGCACGGCTGAACGTGATTGCCTGTTTCACGCATCCAGGTGCGCTGAGGTGACGCCATCCAGCAGCCTGCTCTGGCTGCTGCTATGTCCATGCCAAGAGTAGCTCAGTGAGTAAAAAGAGCTATTTATTACGAAAAAAAATCTAATTTACCTCTCTCATGGTCGTGGTCGTCTAATTTTCTTCGTAATCTACGAAATCAGTTTTTTTTAGCAACTTCAACTTTTAAAAACAGTTTCATTTTGCACCTGAGCGGTTTTTATAGTGGTTTTTGCTGATGGGGTGCCACGCCAAATGAGATAAATCGGACTAAGTTGAAAGTTAAAAGGAGGTAACCATTGTCAAAATCACTAAAGGTGCAAAAGTGACCTGGGATTAACAGTTGAGGGAGGTTAAAAACTGAATTTTGTAGATTAAAAGAAAAAACATATTTTTTTTAGAGGAAAAGAAACATCGGATGAGGCAGGTAAAGACACCATAGTAGCCCATTGTTGATGTTTTGGACCGGGGGTCCTTAACCAACTAGTGAATTTGAACTGTGTGCTCCTAATCCCGGATGGTGATGCAAAGAGACACAAGGTTTATACTGATTCGGGCAATAGGTGCCCTACGTCCAGTCCGAGAGAGCCATCCTGTATTTCTTGCACCGAGGTGCTTATAGTAGGGGTTTACAAGCAGAGCGAGAGAGGGAGCTAGTCCTAGGTCTTTACGTGTAGCGGCGGGGGTTGCTTGAGGCGTTATTCTCAGGCAGCGGGGGGAGCGTGTGTTACAGAGTGTTGCTTGCGCGTGTGTGTGAGCGTTGTTTCGATCTGTTCTCTTTATATCTAGAAGCGGCCCCGGTCACCCCCTTTTATAGTTGAAGGGGAAGATAGGGGCGATCCATGCGTTCGCTACGGGACGTTTCGTGGATAAAGGCGGTATGTCTGAGCCCTGTGCTTGTCACTGTGGTGGCATGGTTGACGGAGTGGTCTTGTCCTTGGTGCGCTGGAGCGACGTGCCGGTCACGACTGGTCCTGTGCAACGTGGGAGCTCCTGTGGTGGCAGGCACGTCTTCCTCTACCGGAGGCGTGATGGTTGCTGCATGTTTGACCGGCGCGGAGTGCCGAGGCCGGGTTGACGCGATGGTGCGGGCGTGTTGACTTCGAGGATACAGGAGCTCGACCCTGCGCGTGACGTGGGTGCAGCTTGGCGCAGGGTACGGTGCGTACTGCAGACGACGTGCCGGTCGCTGTGTGTCGACAGCGTAAAGAGCCGAGGCTCAGTTGGTGCCGAGGCCGAGCCATCGCGGGAGGCTCGGCGGGTGCGAATCCCGAGGCTACCGAGACCCTGGAGCGGATTGCCGAGGCTCGGAGGGAGCAGTTGGTCCTGTACACTGATTTTGAGGCTACAGGGACCCGGACCTGACTCTCCACGCCGTGCTGTTCCTCAGAGTAGGAGTTAGGTAGCACAGCGCAGTACGGGGCGTCAGTCATGGGCACAGTGCCGAGCACAGCGGCCGGTGACCCCTACCCAGTCCTGTCCCTGACTGCATGACGTCGACGTGACTCCCGTCCCGTCGGCCACTCCGCTGTACTGTGCCGACGCGCGGCTGACGTTGCGGGAGTGGTTGGACGCGTTAATTGGACGTGACGTTTTGTTAGAGAAGCTGGTCGAGGCAGCGGTGACGGGGTCGTTGCCGAGCCAGCCTCGAGCGAGGTGGAGAATCGGTACTTCGTTCGAGGCCTTACGGCGCGGGGGCCTCGGTGAGGCGGAGAGTCGGCACCTCGTCAGAGGCTGTGCGGCGCGGGCCTCGGGCGAATCGGAGAATCGGCCGAGGCCTCGTCGTTGTTTCTTGGCTTTGATATTTACAAGGGCTAAGCAATTTTTTCGGTTCTCGCTTAGGGTACCCCTTTTTCTGGTATCCAATAGTAGCCCCCAAGCCTCGAGGGGAGGGCGAGCGCTCTCCCTGAGGTTTTTCGAGACTTGGCTCGCAGCAGCTCCTGTCGGGATTTGCGTTTTGTACTCGTGGTTCCGGTGGGTGTGCGTGAGCGCACCCGCCGGGTGTAGCCCCCGAGGCCCTAGAGGAGTGGATTTACTCCTCCAGGGGCTTTTTCCCTGTTGAGTGAGGAGTTTTATCGTGTTTGCCGGGCCCATGAGTGCGAGTTCGGGTTGCTGGGCCTCGGCTGAGTTGCAGGAAGAGCCCCCGAGCCTCTGCACGGAGCGAGAGGGCGATCAGTGGTTTCCCTGTTTTTTTGTGACCCTCACACATCCTTTTCATTCGGAAGGAGGGGTGGAGTATGCCAGGCTACCCTCGATGGGCGCGAGCAGTGACACCTCCGGTGAGCTGTTATCGGGTAAGTCTGAGTGGAGGCCCGTGCCCCATTCGATAGGGGTCGGCTGGTGGTCCAAGAACGCACTGCAAAAGTACCAGAGGGCTTCTCTAGTGGGTCCCAGGGCTGTTCGATTGGCCCCGGGGGATCGATGCCTCCCTACGGTGGGATCCCATTCGGAGACCTCCCTGCCGGTCTCGGACACGACTTAGGGCATCCCAAGCAGTCGCCTGCTTGGGCCTTGGCCATGTACGGGCTCGCCCATAGTCATCCCTGACTCTGTTGTCCTGGGGCGGCTGTCGAAACCCTCAGGTGCCCAGCCTTCGAACCACTGGACCGTAACAGGCTCGATGCCCTTTATCGCGTTTTTCGAGTCCCCGAGTGCGAGTTTGGGTTGCTGTCGGTGCGGGACCCACAGGATACCCCGCAAGGAAGAGAGAAGATCTAGTCTAACTAGGATTCTCCCCATGTAATCTTAGTAGTAGTATTATCCTGTAATCCTACTAGGAACTCTCATTATAAACCGACTAGGATTCTGACCTCCTGACTATATAAAGGAGGGCAGGGTTGCTAGAGACGGGAGATCAGGACTTTTACGACACAATCAATCCAACGCAAGGGCTAACTTCGACTGGACATAGGGTTATTACTCGACCACAGTCGAGGGCCTGAACCAGAATAAATCGACCGTCTCTTGCGTTAACCATCAAGTTCCGCATACGCTGAAGCCCGAACAATACTACCCCAGGGACCCCCGTGGCAGGCTATCGGTGGTCAAACATCGACAGCTGGCGTGCCAGGTAGGGGCTTTCGGCGAATTTGCATCCGAGAGCTCGATGGACCTCGACAGCATGATCTTCTCGATGGGATCAACTTTCATCTTCGACTCATGGATCTGTGAGGCGGATGATAATGGCAAGCTCCAAAGCTGTCTCCTCAAAGATTCAAATCACCATGAAGACTATTCTATTTCGATGACTACGACATATCAAATCTCTGGAAGATTCGCGCAGCTCATGATGTCCGATTCAACTCAGGTTTCGCGGCTTTGCGCATCTGGCTCAAATTCAGGCTCCGCATCCGAGATAGAGTCTTATCCGAGTTCTTTCTTCAAACCGAGTTCTTTTCCGATGGGGCTTAAGAACACGGCCCTGACCTATCAAGAAAACAACTCGGAGTACACGTAGAATCTATTCAAGAAGTCGGATCCTTTTCCGCTCGGATTCCACAACATGGCAACATCTTATCAGACACGGCCCGAAGGATTCCTTGATTCGGTGCTTAGAATGCCACTGAAGGGAGCTCAGGAAGGTCTCGTACTAACTATAACATCTCAAGATTGCATCGTCCAC